AGCCAGAAGTGGCGCTGTGGCTCAAGTGGTAGAGTGCTAGCCTTGAGCTGAAGAGCTGAGGGACAGCGTCCAGGCCCAGAGTTCAGGTCCCATGACTGTCAAAAAAAATAAAAAGGCAAAATGCCCTTGAACTTGACCCTGACTCCCAAGTCATCCCAGCATCCCCTGATGAAATAAGACATTGAGTTTCCATTGGTGAAGTCCAGCAAGAAAGTGCCTGTTTCTCCAAACACAGGCCAGTACCACAGCAGCTTATGAGGGTCAGTGTCATGTGGACAGGGAGAAGGTGTGGGACAGCCAAACTGGACGTCAACCACACACGGTTCACCTCTGCTTCCTGCTGCCAGTCAGGCTGCAGCTGCTCCTACCATCTTCAGTACATGGGACAGCCAGCTCCCAACATCCCTCTCCTGCTGGTATAAGATGCTGGGTGTGGGAATGGATGAGACACTGGACTAGAGAAGGAAGGGGAAAGGAAGCCCAGCTTCAGGCACCTGAAACTCTGTGAGGACTGCATTGCGCATGCTCTATCTCCCTTATCTCAAAACTCCTCCAGCCTCTGCCCTGTGGGAAGTGGGTGCACACCTCACACTGACCCGACCTTACCCTGAAAATCTTGGGGAGCGGCACACCCTGCCCACCTCCACGTTGAGGAGATTAGACTTGAGAACAGCAGCAGCTTTAGACCAAGTGCCAACACTGACACCTGCATTCTGCAGCCCCATTCATCCATCTGGGCTGGGATCGACTGCTGATGCCTGCTGAGCACGTGGCATGGAGGCAGAAGACCAGGCCACATGTTCCTGGGACCAGGAACACCCCACTGCTATTCTGTGCCGTGTGACTGGGCAGTGACAGGAGTTAGCTGTGGGCTCTCCAGCAGAAGCCATAGTGAAGATGACGTGTGTCCTCTCCTTAAGGAACAGGCAACCAGAGAGAACTCTGGGGCAGACATGCCAGGAAGAGTCCGGTGAGTTGGACAGTGTTTTAAGTCGAGAGATGTGCTCAGTGCCCTGCTTGTTTGCTGCTCGGCTTGAGATGACCCCAACAGCCAGAATCATCCAAGACCATGGGACGTCCCTGTCCCCCACCAACATGACCCAGCATGAGTGACCATCCAACATGGCGGCCAAGTCAGGAGCGGTTTTCCAGCAGAAAGGATGTAGCCTCCAGTATCAGTTAACCAGGAGGCCCACACAGGCCCACAGGGCCTGGACCCTGGCAGGTTCTGCAGAGGCCCTAGCCCTCCTCCCAAAGCCAGCCATTCCCTGGTTAATATGGTCATTGGCTCACAGCACATATTCCGTTGCCACAGGAGACACTTTCCTGTCCTTCCCCTCTGCAAACCAGGGTCTCTCCTACCCTGGCCTCTCTTGGGTCCGGCCCCAGATCCCTTCCTCTTGATATTTCACTGTGAGTCTTTCCTCCTTTCCCTTCAAAACATCCCACGGCTTCCACCCTTTCTTCCTGGTCACTCCAGGCCCCCAGCCCTTTCCTGAAATGACTCAGTTGTGAAGCCTAAATTTCGCTTCGCCTCCTGGCATCTAGGCTGTGTCATGGCTTCTCAAGGTGTCAGGCTGGTCATACAGCAACCTCAAGAGGCTCTGTGGGGAGTAAAAGAGGGGGGAGGACCACAGAGGGGGAGGTCTGGGGGAGGTTGGGGCCAGGGCTGACTGATAGCTACGACCTCTCAGGATATCTCAAAACACACAGCGACTGCGAAATGGAAATGATTTCAACGTGTTACCCACTGATTCAGTGGATAAGTCAAAGATGGGTCACGAACCCAACATTTCGTGACTGGCCATCAGAAACTAGGTCAGGAGTTAGGCAAACGGTTTGTTTTCTCTATACCCTCATTGTTAATGCTTTTATTATTCATGTGTTTATTGTTGCTGGAATATTTTAAGATAGTTCACTGTAAATACTTTGTGGTACATGTCTAGAATTTAAGGGTCTCTTTTGGATAGATAGATAGATAGATAGTCCAATGCAGTTTTCTTGACGGCAGGCGCCATATTTAGTGCACAAGACAATCCTTTGAGGTAGGCATTTAACAATCACTATTTTATTCATGAGGTTAGAATATGGAGGTAATTAATTTACACAGCTAGTAAGAGACCAGCTGAGTGCCAGTGAGGATCTTGGTTCAAAGCCAGCCCAGGTAGACAAATCTGTGAGATTCTTATCTCCTATGAACCAGCAAAAACCCAGAAGTGAAGCTGTGGCTCAAGTAGTAGAGCACCAGCCTTGAGAGAAGGAAATCAAGCAAGAAAGGAAAACCTTAAACTCAAGTCCTAGTACTGGCATGCACACGCATGCATGCACGTGCACACACACACACACACACACACACATAATGTGACCACTCTGAAGATAGAGGCTCTCAGAACTCAGGGAAACAGGAAACTGCAGGGGTCGTGGGTGAAAAGATGCCCAGGGTGAATGTGGCAGAGGAGGCCTGGAGATTCTGTGCCTCCCTGTGCGCCCCTCTGGGACCTGCACCTGCACATTGGCCCAGAAACTTCCCAAGGGCTGCCCTTTGCGTTTTGTGGAGACTGTTTTACATGGGTTTGCTTGAAGCATCAATGGTCAAAATGTGATTTGACAAGTATGAGCTGGTGTGCTCACAGATTGGGCAGGAATCCAGCAAGACCCAGCCATTCAAATGCTGTGGGGGCTCTCTGGCCCCAGTCCCCCCTCCAGCGTCTGTGGAGGGTTTATGACCTGCTATTGGACAGGAACACCATCAGAACACTGCCAGCAGAGGAGAGGAGACAAATAGTTGAAGGGAAAATGGACATCCACTGATAAGTGCGCCAGGCTGTGGTGGCTCATGCCTGTCATCCTAGCTACTCAGGAGGCTGAGATCTGAGGATCATGGTTTGAAGCCAGCCCAGGCAGAAAAGTCCCCATAAGACTCATCTCCAGTTAACCACCAGAAAACCAGAAGTGGGGCTGTGGCTCAAAGTGGTAGAGTGCTAGCCTTGAGCCAAAGAGCTCAGAGACAGCACCCAGAGCCTGAGTTCAAACCGCACAACAGACAAAAATTAAAATGAAATCGTGCAACACAGTGTTAGCCTGGATCTTCGGAGCAGACCCTTCCAACCCACTTGTGCCCTGTGCCATTTGACCTCGCTGCCTCCGCTTAATGAGGAGAGAGGTCCACACCCCATGGGCTGCTGGGAACTGCAAGAAACTAGGAAAGTCAGACCTGGCACCTGGCACATGATCCACAATGCTTTTATCTCCGAGATAGCAAGGGTATCTCACTACTTTGTTAGATCAGGTGGTTTCATTATATTTTACTTTTAGCCAAGCCCAAGAAAGTAATTACATAGAAATCTCTACATTCTGAGAATTTTGAGGTCCCTTGCTCATGAACCCTTTGGGGGGGGAGAGGTGAGGCTCTTATCAGCAAGGTTTGTATCTCTTATCAGTTCCTTTAGAGGCCTCTGGGCTGTGGGACGCAGGTCACTGGGTATTTAACACACAGCTATTAGCCCCTCTGTATACCCAGAACTTATTTTCTTGGCTGAGTGTTTTAAGCCCAGGAAGGAAGCATGAAATGGTTTGGGGTCCTGGGGCTGGTGGTCCTCTCCGACTGCTTGGTCACGTAAGTATAGGACAAGTGGTAACAACTCTCTTTTTCTGGACTCTTTTAAATCACCCTCCTCTTCTCCTGCCATCCCAGGTATAAAGAAGAAAATGCAACTTCAGCCTTCATGAAGTTCAAGTCTCCATGGATGGATGAAGAACTTGCCATGTGTACTGGTGCAGGGAGAAGGGGTTGGGGGATTCCAGAGGTGCAAATGTCAAAGGGCCCAATTCACAATCATAGGCCCTAGGAGTGACACATCCCTGGAATTGTTCAGTGCACAACCTGTGCAGCCGTACGGATTGGTCCCATCTAGGAGCCATGTATCTTCCACGTTTCTTTGTAGGTCTTTGGGTGTCTCTGTGTAGGCAAGGTCTCTGTTACTCTGTTTCTCTCTGCTTTGATTCTCTCTTCAATTTCCTGATTACTACATCCACCCACCCCATACCCTAGCAGTCCAGCTTCCTTCCCCTTAAGTAAAGGTCTCTCAGGCTGAGAATGTGGCTAAGTGGCAGAGTGTTTGCCTAGCATGCATGAGGTCCTGGGTTCGATTCCACAAAAACTACAACAAAGAACTTTAAATATATATATTTATTTATTTAAAATATAATATATGTCAGGTGCCAGTGGCTCACGCCTGTAATCCTAGCTACCCAGGAGGCTGAGATCTGAGGATCATGGTTCAAAGCCAGCCCAGGCAGGAAAGTTTGTGAGACTTCTCTCCAATGAACCACCAGAAACAGGAAGTGGTGCTGTGGCTAAAGTGGTAGAGAGTTTGCCTTGAGTTGAAGAGCTGAGGGACAGCGCCCAGGCCCAGAGTTCAAGCCCCATGACTGACCAAAAAAAGAAAAAGAAAAAAGGCCTTCCTCCCTCCTGGGGCAGCTGTGGGAAAGACACCATGCGCTTGTACAGCTGTGGTCATGGCTACTGGGTGGTAGGTGTATGGAATCCATCAGGTCAGTGACAACCTCCGCAAAATCCTCATCCCAGCTTTCTTACAGAACAGGAAAACAGAGGCTCAGAAAGGTCGTGCAGTTTACCTGAGCTTGCACAACAGAATCCGGATCTTCCCATCAGGTGGAGGGAGGTGGGGACTGTCCTCATAACACGATGCTTGAAAAACCCACAGTGCAGCAGCCCTGGTTGACCGACTGCAGTCTCTGATCCTTTCCAGAATCCCTCTGATGAAGATCAAATCCATGCGGGAGAACCTACGGGAAGACAACAGGCTGAAGGAGTACCTGGACAAGTACCCATACAGGACACTCCTGGCCCACAACCTTCTGGACCAGCATCTGTCCTACCCAGGAGTAGCCTATGAACCCATGAGAAACTACCTGGATGTAAGTGTGGTGGAGGCGGAGCTCCAGTGCGCCCCCTAGTGTTCATGCCCGGCCCAGATGGTGAGGCAGAAAGATGGGAGGGAGAGTTTAAACATCTGTCCCCGCAAGGAGGAAGCAATCCTACCCCAGCTAGGGACTTTGGTGAAGGGACCTCGCAGTGACCAGGTTGCCAGGCAAACGTCCTATTCTGTGCCGACAACATGTGACAGGCACCTGGGATCCACAACGATTGGGTCGTTGTTGCTTCTAAACTAGGTGGATCCCATCTACTGCACTGTCTAACCTGGTGAGAGCAAAGCCAATTGCAAGTCCAGGAAGTCCCACCCTCCAGCCCCAAAGCTCCCACCACTAAGAGCCCAGTGAGCTACGCTGGATGCGAAGCAGACTGGATGTTTTTGCTACTAGTAGGCCTGTGCCTCTTGTGGCCCAGCCAGAGAAAAGAACAAACATTTAACACCTAAAAGGGCCCACTGCGTGGTACTGGTAGAAGATTAACTTTAGAGAAAGGAAAGAGCCCAGGACCCTGGCGTGACCTAGGAGGGCTGCCTGGAGGAGGCATGCAAGCAGGGCCTTGAAGAGTGAAAAGGGCTTGAGAGTTGAGGAAAGATGCAAATTGGGGAGGCTGTGGGGGTGGGGACGGTTGGAAAGAGGCTTCCTTGAGGACACCCCAGGGAAGACAGACACTCTGGCAGTTAGGGAACCGGCCAAAGAGCCAGGCCAATCCAAACCATGCCGCTTCTCCTGGCAGCTGAGCTACCTGGGTGTCATCGGCATCGGCTCCCCGCCTCAGGAGTTCAAGGTCGTCTTGGATACAGGTTCGGCAGCACTATGGGTGCCAAGCATCTACTGCTCCAGCCAGGCGTGCGGTGAGCCCCCTGCCCAGTTCCTACCACCAGCCATTCTGGAAGGCCACCAGCTGCTCACTCCCTTTGTTCCTCCCTCCTTCCCCCAGCTAAACACAAAGTCTTCAATCCGCTGCTCTCCTCCACCTTCCTGGTCTCTGGCCGGCCCATTAACATCGCCTATGGTTCAGGGAAGATGTCGGGATTTCTGGCCTATGACACGGTTAAGGTAATGTGGAAACCAAAGGCTGAAGCAGGACCAGAGGCAGGGTCTCGCCCCCAGGGGGCGCTGTGTCCCTCCCACCCTCTCAACAGCGGGGGGGGGGGGACAAGGATCATTTACTGCTTGCAGCTCCATTCCTCAGGATGCTCACAAGGCTGGAGCTACCAGAAGCAGAGAGGGATGTGGGGGGAAAAAATCTCTTTTTTCATGCCAGGTTGTGCCAGGCTCCATGCCGGGCACAGTTTTCACCCACCTGAGGGCGCTGGATTTCCTAGATGAGGGAATAGAGACCGTGTGTGCTTTGCCTAAGGTCACACAGCTGGGGGGGCCCAGCAGAGCTGGGGATGAGTCTGGGGCCTCTGAAGGAAACAGGATCTGGGCCTTGTGGTGGGTGAAAACTGGGTGCCGTTTGGGAAGAATCCTGCCCAAAAAGTGGGCTCTTGGGGGAACTTGGAGGTCTTGAAGGATCGTGTCTGATTCTTTTTTATTTTCCCCTGTGGTTGGGTATGGAGCTTGAATTTGGGGCCTGGGCGCTGTCCCTGAGCCTCTTTGTGCTCAAGGCTAGTGCTCTACCACTTGAGCCACAGGGTCACTTCCCCTTGAAGAATCTAATGAGACTTGTGGGGCGCCTCCCACGAGGTGCCTGAGCACCCACACAGAAACTGCATACCTGCTTCCACTTGGGATACGCAGCTGGGGTCCAACCAGGCCTCAATTTCCCCACCCTGTCCTACGCCAGGCCAGCCCCACTGTCAGACCCCTCTCCCACAGATCGGGGGCCTGGTGGATGTAGCCCAGGCCTTTGGCCTGAGCCTGGAGGAGCCTGGCAAGTTCATGGAGTATGCGGTCTTCGACGGCATCCTGGGGCTGAGCTACCCCAGCCTTGGCCTTCAGGCAACCACACCAGTCTTTGACAGCCTGTGGGAACAAGGCCTGCTCTCTCAGAACCTCTTTGCTTTCTACTTGAGCAGGTGAGTCTTAAGCTAGACAAGCCCTTGTACCAATTTGGCTGTAAGACACTTACAATCACATTTAAAAAAAAATGTAGCCCCTCTGATCCAGAAGATTCCTTAGGGGTAGTATAGAGTTGGCAAACTATGGCCTGAGGGGAGGCCAACTCTGGCCCACCAATTGTTTTTTTTAAATAAAGTTTTATTGGAACACAACCTTGATTATTCATTTACATACTGCCTGTGGCTTGCACTAGCCTTAAAATGGTGGCAGTGAGTGCTACAGAGATCCAGCAGCATGCAAGGCCTAGCATGCAAAGTACTAGTGGGTTTGCTGACACCTGTAGCCCATGCCCTTTGCCTGAGCAAGAAAGGAAAGCACAGAAAAGATGCCTGGTCTGATACTGATAGAGGTAAGATATGAATTCATCCCTCAGGACTCTGCCCTGTGGTGGTGGTCAGTCTGTGAAGGCTTCAGCCCCTGGGCACAGTGAAAAGCTGGAGTCCCCGTGTGAGCCAAGAGTCTAGTAGCAGATGGGAAAGAAGGAGACACAAAGGCCAGAGGAACCCCGGATGACAGATCATGTGTTTACCACCAAAGATAATGGTGGAACCCACAGGAGAACGGATTGTGTGGCAGGCAAGGGGGAGCCTGAGCCCCCCACCCTCGGCAAAATACCAGCTCCACAGTGGGACCGTAGGCAAGCTTTTCAACCTCCCCAGGCCTCAGGAACACAGAACACATGCACCTACTTAGAGGACATGAGTCATTCAAGAAATATTTATTGAGCACTCACCATGTGCTGTATCACACACCTGGTGACTGATCCTGTGAAAGCCGTAAATCAGGCAGAAGGAACAACAGAGGGGGAGGGGGAGGGAGAGAAGGAGGATGGCTTTCTGAGCTGAGACCTCATTATGGAAAAGAGCCAGGATTGACCTGGTGGAGGGAAGAGGAGGGCAAAGGCTTCTGGGAAAAAGGGGTGTGTCATTTCCAAGCACCATCGAGGGGGCGTGGCACATTCCAGGACCAGTGGCACCTTCTTCTATTTCTTGGACAGCTTGGGATGGGAGCAGCTGGAACTTGGAGCTTCGCTGAATTTGTTCTCATTGAATCGAGGATAGAGGGACTGGGTGGGGGACTCTCTGGGAGAGGGTGAAGCAGAGAAGAGACACGATCTGATTTATGTGTTTGTTTTGCCTGTTCTTAGTTTTACTTTTACTTGGCATGGGAATGGTACCCGTGTATGGGGTCCAGTGTGAAGGTCTGATACAGGAACAGGTTTTGTGTCTAATGATTAAATCTGAGAAGTTAGCACTCGATCTGCATTTTTGAAAGTCCACTCACTCTGGTTGAACACAGAGAGAATGAATGAAAGGAAGGGAGGCAGGGAGGCCAGGAGAGAGGCTGCCGCAGCCTCTTCAGGGGAGAGAGGAGGTGGCTTGGGGGAGGAAGAGGCTGATGGGTGGGATGTAGAAGGAGAGGGGTGGGTGGAGAGTTTCATCCCTCACTAAGCTTTGCCATGAGCAAGGGTCTGGCCTGGTAATTTACAAACCAATCATGTAGGCCTTGTTTCAGAAGTTTTAAGAAATCTAAGACAGCAGTGGCAGCAATACAAGACATTTCTGTGCTGGGGGAGGGAGAGGGTGGTTGTGACTACACAACATGCCCATCCTGTGCTCTCATGTGCCTCAGTTTCCTGAGAAATGACAAGCTAGACAGGGGAGGTCACGTACCTGTGGACATCGATCGTCTAATGAAGCCTGAATGCCTGGGATGGCTGGAGAGCCTGTGTCCAGAGCAGACTCACCCCATTCAAACCCCAGCTTTGCCACGTAAAAACCACATAGCTCGTTATCCTAGCTACTCAGAAGGCTGAGATGTAAGGATCACAGTATGAAGCCAGCCTGGGCAGGAAAATACATGGGACACATTTCCAATCAGCCATCAAAACACTGGCAGTGGACCTGTGGCTTAAGCAGTAGAGTACCACTCGTGAGCAGAAAAGCTCGGGGACAGCACGCAGGCCTAGAGTTCAAGTCCCAGGACCAGCACACAAAAAAAAAGCGGGGGGGGGGAATCCATGAACAACCTCAGGTGGGTGCTGCAGCCCTCTGTGACTCAACTTCTCTCTCCATAAAATGAAGCTCACATTAGGACCATGGAGCTGTGGGGTTGTGTGTTCCCGCACACCAATAAGCAGCCTCTAGCCAGGGATGGATGGATGCTGAGCAATGAATCTTCCTCTTCTTCTTCTTCTTCCTCCTCCCTCCAGCAAGGAAGAGAAGGACAGTGTGCTGATGCTGGGCGGGGTGGACCCCTCCTACTACTATGGAGACCTGAACTGGGTACCTGTGTCCAAGCCCAAGTACTGGCAGGTAGCCATGGACAGGTAAGCATCTGCCCAATTGCTACGGGAAGCGATGCACCCTGCCACGGCGCATGCGCATAGTCACACAGGCCCATGCAGACATGCGCAGTAACCCAACAGCCGCATCCAGCCGCCAGCAGGGCAGTCAGAACCCCTCCAGGCCTTACCCAGAAAAGATGCATCAGGATGAATTCTTGGGCATTAAAAGGAGACGGGAATGGGGGGAAGGGAAGACAAGTCGGGTGCCAAGTCAGATGCCAGTGGCTCACGCCTGTAATCCTAACTACTCAGAAGGCTGAGATCTGAGGATTGGGGTTCAAAGCCAAGCTGGCAGGAAAAATCCTTGAGACATCTCCAAAAGGAGAAGTATGACTCAAGTGGTAGAGCACTGGGCCCGGGTGAAAAAGCTCAGAGATGGTGCTCAGACCCTGAATTCAATCCCCAGTCCCCAGCATGCACGCATGCGCATGCATGCATACACACACACACACACACACACACACACACACAAGCATGCTGAACATCTGTGTGGGGGCATTTGGGGGAGGCACTTCACCAATTAGTAGGGAAGATATACAAAAGCCAATGAATTGCACAGATAATGGCCACCCCACAACCTAAGGATCAGATGGTGGAAGAGACCAAGAGGAGGGTCTGAGGTAGTGTGCAGGCGGGCCCCCCTGAGAGGTGACCATCTGAAAGCTGGAGGATAAGGAAAATCTAGCCAGACAAAGGGGTTGACATAGCTCCAGTAAGGAAGCGTTGCACATGCAAAGGCCCTGAGGCAAGAAAGAGTTCTGTGAATTCAAGAACTGAAAGTTGGGCATGGTGTCCTGCACCTGTAGTCCCAGCTACTCAAAAAGCTAAGGCAGAAGGACTGGTTGAATCCTATGAGATCAAGGTCAGCCAGGGAAATGTAGTGAGACGGGTTCTAAATAAATAAAAAGAGCTAAAAGGAAGTCTAAGAAGAGAGGTGTAGCCAGGCACCAGTGGCACATAACCTGCAATCCTCAGTACTCAGGAGGCTGAGATCTGAGGATCAAATTTTAAAGCCAGCCCAGGCAGACAAACTGGAGAGACTGATCTCCAATTAACCAGCAAAAACCCAGCCGTGAAGCTGTGGCTCCAGTGGTAGAGTACCAGCCTTAATCAAAAAAGCCGATCAAGAGTGCAAGGCTCAAGTTCAAGCCCCAACACCAAAACAGAAGGTATGGCCATGCATAGGGAAACACACAGGGAGCCTGAGCTGAAGGCCTGTCCTGGACATGGCGGTGAACAGGACTGCACAGGGTCCCTGTGTCTGCTTTGCCCCCTGCCTCTCAGCATCTCCATGAACGGGGAGGCTGTTGCCTGTGCCAGTGGCTGCCAAGGCATTCTCGACACGGGCACCTCGTTGCTGACTGGCCCGCGTGACTCTCTCCTCAACATCCACAAGATCATCAATGCCAAGCCCTACAGTGGGGAGGTAAAGCGTCCTGCCAGAGGGTCACTCTGTGCTGTCCACCCCCCTGAGGCCAGCCGTTGGCCAACCTGCCCCCTTTCTCTGACAGTATATCCTTGACTGTGATACCATCAACACCCTGCCTGACATTGTCTTCACCATCAACGGTATCAACTACCCAGTGCCAGCCAGCGCCTACATAAAGAAGGTGAGAGGCCTCCAGCCAGGGCATTGGTCTTCAAATCATCCTTGGGCTGCAGCTGGAAGGGAGCGTCCCCTGGTGGTTAAACTATGTCATTACACAGTGGCACAAGGCTTAGGGACGAAGATGGGGGACACTGTGGCCTCCAGGGAGCTTCAGTTTAGTCAGGACATTCCAGTGGGTCAGCTGGGAAGGTCCGCTAGCTCCAAAACTGTCCTGGTTCGGATGATAGATTATATGGCCACCCGGCCTAGGCCCTACTTTGGAGGACAGGGTACTCTTCCAAACAAGCACCCACCCGTGTTTCTGTCCTCTGTAGGCTCACGAACACATCTGCTTCAGCAACTTTGAACAAGGCGTAAACAACCTGTCTGACACTGAGATCTGGGTCCTGGGAGACGTTTTCCTGAGACTGTATTTCTCCGTGTTCGATCGGGAGAACAACAGGGTTGGCCTGGCTCCTGCTGTCTAAGTGCTGAGGCTGGGAGGCCTCCTCAAACGCAGACCCACACCGCATCAGGGATTCATATCCAGGTTGCTGGCCCTGGGCCGTTTGGTGCTCTGGAAAGCCTTTTCTTGGTGGAATAATAAAAGCTTTCATTTGCAGTGGTGCTGATGTTCACGGTGGCTTCTGTCTGGGTGGGGAGGTGTGTTGGAATGAAGCAAGACTCCAAAATCTAGTGCCCATCACAGTGAAAGAAGCTCCAACTGGCTGGAATGAAGAAAGACTGGAGGCAGGACCCTAGGGTGGGTGTAGAACCAAACAGGTCCAAAGAGCCCAGTGACTTGACCCAAGAACTCAAAAGATGCCCAGCTCCCTCGTTTCCTCCCTCCTTCTCTTCTCTCATCTTTAATCCTCCGCCCTCTCAGACATCTACTTAAGGTCAGACACTTTCTCCTTGCCTTCTCTAAGGTTGTCCATCCTTAAAGGATCTGAACAGGTAGAAAACAACTCAGAAAATACCAGGATACCGGAGAGCACTCTTATTGGTTCACTTTGAGTCATGTGTTTGGTCCTGGACCAACCACCACCATGGACAGACAGTGTGGGATACTATGATTGGCTCTTCTTAGTCATATGGCCTTTGCCTGGGGCCAGAAGGTCCTTGACAGTTTCCTCTAGAATCACATAACTGAACCCAGCCAAAGAAGTCCCCAAAAGAAGGCAGTCCATGAGACTCTTATCTCCTATTACTAGTAAAAAAGCTGAAAGTGGAGCTGTGGTTCAAGTGATAGAGCACCAGCCCTGAGTAAAAAAACCTAAGGGACAGTGCCAAGGCCCTGAGTTCAATCCCTAATACACACACACACACACACACACACACACACACACACACACACAGAATTCTAAGTAGGGTGTACTGGTGCACCTGCCATCCCTGTGCTCAGCAGACTGAGGCAAGAAGATCTCCAGACCAGCCTGGAGCTCCGTAGTGAATTTGAGGCACTCCTGAACAACATAATGAGATCTTGTCTCAAAAACACAAAACATTACACAATAGATTCTATTCTTCCCCACTTGAAAGTGGCCTTGTGCTCAGAGGGAGCGGTAGTGAGGCCCTTTAAACCTGAATGTCCCCCGCCCCCTCAGCTCCTGGGGTGTGGGAGATAAAGCAGTAAAGCACACCACCAGTGTTCTGCCACCCACATCTGCAACAGATACCATGTGGGTACCAAGCCCTTCCCACCCCACGAATTCCCAGCATGGCCCTTCTGTGGGGCTGAGATCTGGAGGATTATGGTTCAAAGCCAGCATGGACAGAACAATCTGAGAGACTCCATCTTCAGTCTTGAATCCAATACTGGATCAGAAATAAGCAATCTCAAAAAAGTGGGGGAGGGGATACTTTGGGGGCAGAGGAGAAAAGATACTTGGAGGCAACCTGAGAATGTTGACTATGTGCTGTATGTAACTTAATGATATCGGCTAGGGGTGGTCACTCATGCCTGTAATCCTGGCTACCGAGGAAGCAGAGATAAGGGGGATTATGGCTCCAAGCAAAAAATTATTGCGATTCCATCTCAATGAATAAGTGGTAGAATACATCTGTGACGTCAGTTCCGCAAGGTGAATAGGAGAGCAGTCCAAGGCACTGGAAAAAAAGAGAGAGTACTTGAAAAATAACTAAAGCAAAAAATAGCCGGAAGGGGGCATAACTCAAGTAGGAGAGCACCTGCCTGGCAAGTGCCAAGTCCTAAATTCAAACTCGAGTGTTTCTACGAATGTTCAGTTCTCTGAGTGTGTTTGTTGTGTATATGTGTACACACATTGTGAGTGGACGGGGATGTGTTCGTTCTCTGGAGACACAAAAATTCAGAAGGGTCATGACACAGATCTGAAGGGACAAAGGTGAACAAATACAGCAGTGGTAATCACTAGATGCTATGTTGAAAATGAACTATAAAATTTGTGGGTAGAGACGGGAGGGGAAAACAGAGAGAGCGAGGGAAGAAGTGACATTGTCCTAAAGAAATGTACTCCTTCACCCCTCTGTAGATCACCTTTAAAATAACAATAAAGAAGAACAAAAGGAAGAAAAAGAAAAAAAGAAGGGTCATGGTGCCTGCAACTGATTCTATCATTCACTCAAAACATTCATAATATGTATGCACCAGGCACTGGTGGCTCACGCCTGTAATCCTAGCTACTTAGGAGGCTGAGATCTGAAGATCATGGTTCAAAGCCAACCTGGGCAGGAAAATCTGTGAAACTCTTACCTCCAATAAACCCCAGAAAACTAGAAGTGGCGCTGTGGCTCAAGTGGTAGAGCGCTAGCCTTGAAGAGGCTCAGGGACAGTGCTCAGGCCCAGAGTTCAAGCCCCATGACCAACAAAAAAAAAAGTACATATGTGTGCTGGGGTGTGATTTCAATCATTGTAGAGTAATAATAAAGTGTGTGTGTGTGTGTGTGTGTCTGTGTCTGTGTCTGTGTGTGTGTAGAGAAACCTCTCCCAGTCAGTTATAAAGAATAGATAAATCTCAGGATGTAAACATGAAATTTGTTGTTTCATTCTTAGGATTTGTTTTCTATAGACCTTTAATATTTTCAAAATACAAAAACTTAAACCTAGCCAGGCACCAGTGGCTCACACCTGTTATCCTAGCTACTCAGGAGGCTGAGATCTGAGGATCAGGGTTCAAAGCCAGTCAGGCAGGTAACTAGGTGAGACTCTTATCTCCAATAAACCACCAGAAAACCAGAAGTGGCACTGTGGCTCAAGTGGTAGAGCGCTAGCCTCGAGCTGAAGAGCTCAGGGGCAGTGCCCAGGCCTAGAGTTCAATCCCCATAACCAACAACAACAAAACAAGTTAAACCTCAGTTAAGCCAGGTGCTCATGCCAGTAATCCTAGCTATTCTGGAGGCTGAGTTCTTAGGATGGAAATTCAAAGACAGTCAGGGGCAGGGAAGTTCATGAGACTCTTATCTCCAATTAACTACCCCCCCCAAAAAAAGCTAGAAGTGGAGCCTGTGGTTGAAAGTAGTAGAGTACTTGCCTTGATCAAAAGAACTCAGGGACAGCACTCAGGCCCTGAGTTCAAGCCCCACTACTTACCAAAAAAAAATAAAAAATAAAAAAATAACTTTAGTTAAGTGGCTTCATGCTAAGACAAATGAAAGGGACGTTTTAAAGGAAAGTGAAAACAGGGGTTATACCATTTTCACCGTATTGATGTTGGTATAATTTGTGGAGGGGAAGGGAAAAAACAAATTGTTTAAACAGGGATACAGGTGGACCCATTGCAACAATGAGATGTACAAGATGCTATGTCGAAAAACAAACTTTACAACTGTGGCGGTGGGGGAGGGGGGGAATGGGAGGGCAGGGATGGGAAAGGGAAACAAAGGAGGAGGTAATGATGCTTGATAAGAAATGTACTCTAACCCCATGCTGCTGATCACATGTATGGTGTATATGTGGACACTGTTATATGTTATAGACCGTGATAGAGAATTTGCTCCAGGAAAGTTAGAATGAGTTTGTGACTTTAAATGAGCATCATTATCCCACAATATTGTGAAATTTGGGAAATTATGTAATCTCTTAATTACAACTTTAAAAAAACCAGAAAACTAGAAGTGGCATTATGGCTCAAGTGGTAGAGCATGAGCCTTGAGCTGAATTGTTCAGGGACAGCTCCCAGGCCTAGAGCTCAAGCCCCACCACTGACAAATGAGAGAAAGAGACAGAGAGACAGAGAGACAGAGAGAGAGACAGAGAGAGAGAGAGATCTTTCATGCGATGGTTTCTAACATATTGATAAGAGTATGTCTTTGTTGCCTTGTATATCCCTCCCCCATGGTACAACCCCTGCTTTCACTATATATAATGTTGGTATATGTGGAGGGGAAGGGAAAAAACAAATTGTTAAAACAGGGATACAGGAGGACCCATTGCAACAACGAGATGTTCAAGTTGTTATGTCGAAAAAACGAACTTTACAACTTTGGTGGGAGGATGGGAAGGGATGGGAAGGGGAAACAAAGGAGGAGGCTACAATGCTTGATAAGAAATGTACTCATTATCTTGCCCATGTAATTGTAACCCCTCTGTACAGTATTTTCACAATAAAATATATTTTAAAAAAAGAAATGTATTCATTACCTTGCTCAGGTAATTGTAACCCCTCTGTACGGTATTTTCACAATAAAAAAAAAATCAACTCCAGTAAATAAAAATAAATAAATAAAAGTGAAGTTAGAAAGGAGACATTCTGAGCGACTCATTTCTCATGGCATGTGGCGGAGTTTTGACATGGAACCAGGTCAGCTCCTTTTCCTTCCACAGTCAGAGCAAGCCCAACTCATGCCTGCAACTGGAGGTATGGTCCAAGTGATAGCGTGCCGACTATGAGCAAGAATGTGAGGCCCTGAGTTCAAGCCCTAGGGCTGGTGAAGGGAAAGAAAGAGAGGGGGAGGGAGGGGCAAGAGGAGAGGAGGAGGAGAAAGAGAGGAGATCTGAGCAGAGAAGAGGAGAGGTCTAGAAGGCTCTTCAAAGTCACCCACTGTGGAGCAGGATCTGAACACAGGCTGACTCCTGGTCATCTCTCTCTCAGTTGTTTTCACTCATGCTTTTTTCTGTGCCCAGAGGGAGGCTCAGGCAGGTGCCGTGGAGAAGGCTGTGGCCTGGGGCTCACCGTGTGCTGCACGTGGTCAGGTACTGGCTTAGGGGACAAGTAAGTCACAGGACACAGGGCAGGACAGGGGAGCTGGCCCTGAAGGCTGGCAGGTGCCAGCCTCCCCCCTCTCCCATCCAGAGTCCTTCTGTGGGGACCAGCCCTGCCTTGAGCCCTGTGCCCTGTGCCCTGTGCCCTGTGCCCTGTGCGTGTCTAACAGTCTGGCCTCCTGCCCGATTCCGCCCATGGTGTCCCCTCCCCTTGTCCCTCTAGGCTTCCTGTCCCGCTGACTCAATGTTCCCTCTGGGTCCTGCACCCCAGCCCATCCTTCCTTGCCCAGGCCCTGCACTGAGGCC